ACACACTAGCCACGGGCACTGTGCACCCCAGGGACACGCTGGCCATGGACATGGGGCGCCCCAGGGACACACCGGCCATGGACATGGGGCGCCCCAAGGACACACCGGCCACGGACATGGCACACCCCAAGGACACGCCGGCCACGGGCACCGTGCGCCCCAGGGACACGCTGGCCACCCGGCGCCCCAGGCACACACTGGCCATGGACACAGGGTGCCCCAAGGACACACCGGCCACGGACATGGGGCGCCCCAAGGACACGCCGGCCACGGGCACTGTGCGCCCCAGGGACACGCCGGCCACGGACACGGGGTGCCCCAAGGACACACCGGCCACGGACATGGCACACCCCAAGGACACGCCGGCCACGGGCACCGTGCGCCCCAGGGACACGCTGGCCACGGGGCGCCCCAGGCACACACTGGCCATGGACACAGGGTGCCCCAAGGACGCACTGGCCACAGGCACCGTGCACCCCAGGGACACACCGGTACCGGGCACCAGGCACCCCAGGGACACGCTGGCCACGGGGTGCCCCAGGGACACGCTGGCCACGGACATGGGGCACCCCAAGGACATGCTGGCCACAGGCACCATGCACCCCAGGGGCACACCAGCACCGGGCACCGGGCACCCCAGGGACACGCTGGCCATGGAGCACCCCACAGACATACTGGCCATGGGGTGCCCCAAGGACACACTGGCCACGGGCACCGGGCACCCCAAGGACAAGCTGGCCATGGGCACCGTGCACCCCAAGGACACACTGGCCACGGACGTGGGATACCCCAAGGACAAGCTGGCCGTGGGCACCGTGCACCCCAAGGACACACCAGCCACAGGCACAGGGCGCCCCAAGGACACACTGGCCACAGGGCGCCCCAAGGACACACTGGACACAGGCACCGTGCACCCCAGGGACACACCGGTACCGGGCACCGGGCACCCCAGGGACACACTGGCCACGGGGTGCCCCAAGGACACGCTGGCCACAGACACAGGGCGCCCCAAGGACACACCAGCCACGGGCACAGGGCGCCCCAGGGACACGCTGGCCACGGACATGGGGCGCCCCAAGGACACACTGGCCACAGGGCGCCCCAAGGACACACTGGCCACGGGCACGGGGCGCGTGGCGCTGGCGCCGGCACGGGTCACC